GACCAGTGTGCAGCTGCTTTGCTTGTTCTGTGCCTCAATTTGCAAGCTACACTACTTGTGGGACATCTAACCCATGGACTGTGTCAGTGTAATTTGAGGTTCCTTCAAGACCTGCATCGCCACACAATTGGAATTTACATCTCTTGAGCTGGGGACTGTCAGACTGTGTCATCTGGCTGGCTGTTGGTGACCTGCCTTGCTGTTTGCTGCCTGTGCCCAGATAGCCCGAATTGCTCTACAGAGGACTACCCGGCGGCCCTCAAGACAGTGTCTCACAATGTCTCATGGGATTGAGTTGCACTGAGCCATTTGTACTGCTTTATAATTTAATTAACTGTTTACTTCTTATGTTATATCTATCTATCTGTATAAATATATATAAAACTATTGGCATTCTGATTTTGTCTCTCTAGAGAACCCTGTCTAACACAGTTGTTATCTTTTTTTAAAGCCTAGTACATTTAAAAGTATCACTGGTGGTTAAGTGTTGGACTGCTACCTGAAAGGTTGGTGGTTGAAACCAACCAGCAGCTCTAAGGGATAAATACCTGGTGGTCTACTTACATAAAAATTATAGTGCAGAAAACCTCAATGGGGAAATTCTACTCTGTCACATGAAGTCTCGATGAGACAACATGCAATAACAAGAAAGCAATACATGTACATTTCTTGCCAAAACTAATGATTTACTTTGAATCTACCACCTGGTAATTTGTTTCCTGCCATTGTCTATGCCCTTTCTTTATGGATTATTTTGCATTATTTCATTTTCTACCTCCTGTCCATTTTCTTGATGCTTTTATAACCTTTGACAAGTGATGTAGGCCCTACTCTGTAGATTATACCACGAAATCATGACTTATCAGAGTTTAGTATAAATTCACTCAAAAACTTGCTGCCACCGAGTTGATCCCAACTCATAGCAATGCTATAGGTCAGGGGAGAATTGCCCCTGTAGGCTTTTAAGACTGTAACTCTTCAGAGGAGTAGAAATCCCCACCTTTCTCCTATGGAGTAGCTGGTGGTTTGGGACGGCTGACCTTATAGTTAGCAACTCAATGTGTAACCACTATGTCATCAGGATGCCTTCATATAAATTAGCACTTTTATATTTTCATGGATAATGTGATAATATTGAGATACTTTAATTTTATTTACTCTTCTTTCATATTTATACTATTGTATTTTAATTGTATGTCTATGTTAATCACTGTAAGGTATTTTATTGAAGTTATTATTTGTGGTAGTTACATAATGTGTTGTCAATTTGAGATTTAAGAGTAAAGGGGTGGAGTTTAGCCTGTCAGTCAGGCCTCAGCTTGATGACCTCATTTGGAGGCACCACAAGATAAATAGCTCATTGGAAGTGGGTCACATGCTCACTCCCTGAGACATTACCTACAACAAGCTACATGGAGCCAGAGCCTTGGAGCTGGAGGAGCCACATGGAGAGCCCTGCCAGCACTAAGATGCTTCTACCACCACTGGATCCATATGACTTTCCACTCACTGACCTGTGATCTTTCTGCACTCAGCATCATTGCATGTGTTGTGTGCGTCTAAAGAGGTACTTACAGACCGGTATCAGACATATGGGCTAATATTGTACTTATGGACTTGATCTGGACTAGACTGGGATGTTTTCTCAATATTCAATTGCTCTTGTATATAAAGCTCTTTCTTATACATAGATGAGTGTCGATGGACTTGTTTCTCTAGTCTACCCAGACTAAGACATCATTCTATTAAAAATATCTACACATTTATGAAAGGGTAACCTAAGTTTAGTGTTCTTTGGAGAAAAGTTAGGCATTGTTTGAAAATGGTGAGGAGTAAGTAAACAAGAGAAGAATGTTGAAATTCTAGGCATATTCCCACAAGGAGGCACAAGGATTCCACAGGTCACACAGAGTGGCATTTAGAAGAGCCCATCTGCAGAGAGACGGAGCTGAGACAGACTCAGATATGAAATTGGTGGGAAAAGGGAATAATGACTGCTGAGTGGATGAGTTTTTTTTTTTTTAAGTAACAAAGGTACAGGGCAGAATTTAGGTAGAAACCCATGCTGGTGGGAGTAGGGAGGATATAATTGGGTAAAAAAGTTTATTAATTGTAGCGCTAGGACAAGATAGAGGTAAACACAGAAACTTTAGAGAAGTTTTTTATTTTAAACCACAATTCTTTAAAGAGAATGTTTCTTACCAGCAGAAATCTTGCCTAAGAGAATCAGAAGATGCCTTTGCAGATGTAAACTTTCAATTTTTTCTTCTTCTTGTTTTCCTTTGTGTCTTCTTACCTCACATTCCTACCTCTCATCGTTTTCTTGTTTCTGCCCTTTTAATACTTCTTTCTGTGGACCAGGGTTTCTTAACCTTGGCGGTATTGACATTTTGGGTCATGTTAGTTTTGGGGGGATTATCTTGTGGGTTGTAGGATGTTTGGGGCATTGTAGCTGCATCTATGGCCTCTACCCACTAGGTGCTACTAGCATACTCCCTCCATGAGTTGTGACAATCAAAATGTCATTCAACATTGCCAAACAGCTCCTTGGAGGCAAAATCATAACCTGTTGAGAACTAGAGCTCTTGAGGACAGGAACAGAGACAGGGGAGCAAGTTAGAGAAAGGAGTTGAGAGTCTCAAGAAATGTGAGTGTGTTTAAGTAAGACAAGAGACAGACTGGAATCGCTACATACATGTATGCTACATTAAAATCACAGAAAATGACCCAATACCGAGTGGTCGCAAATCATAGCAAAGTGCTCATCTTACGTTCTTGTGCAAGAAAGATGTCATCCTCAGCTTACCTGACCTGGGAGGTTTCATTATGGCTTCCACTTTCAATTGATAACGCTGAGAAGCCAGTGCTCTGCTCACACTATTTTCTCTCTCACCTTTGTCCTCTCTGCTCCCAGGTCATCCGTCTTTGGCATCCGACTCCTTCCCTTGCTTGCTTTGGGAGCTTTCTTGAAGAAGTTGAGACTATCCAAGAGACATCACCGACACCACAGCCTATTCCGACAGTCGGCTGCTCTTCTCATAACCTCCAGGCATCCCTTTGCTTCCAGCATGACTCTCCATCTGCTCCGTTCCCCAGAGCAGACCTCCCACTGATTGACATTAATCCGGGAAAGCACTCCTCTAGAAAAAACGCCTGGACATCACTTCCATTGCTCTTCCTGGAGAAGCAGCATTGTCTTTGGAACCACCACCAAAAGGACCGGGTCAGACTATGGAAAGGTAGGCACTCATGGGCCACCAAGGAGACTGGGCATCTTGTAAATAATGTAAATAAAGTATATGGTTCCCTTGTGGGGTGAGACCATGGAAATTCTGGGTGTATAAACGAATGTGGGGATTGGTCAGCTTTGCCACCCTGCTAGGCTCAAAATGAACCCCACAGATGGAAAGCAGGGGTGGGGGTGGCTCATGAACATCAAGGAAAAGGAGCCGGAAGGAGAGCCTGCCCTTTGGACTAGAGATCTCTGCCCTCTACCCAGGTGACAAAGAGCTGGGACAGCGGTTGGTGAGAGGTGCTGAGAAGTGGCAGCAGAAGAACCACGAGTAGTGGGCTTCATGGCCCGGACAATGACAACATCGAGTGCTTTGGGGCAGGGGGCTTGATGGCAGAGTGGAGTCCCTTTAGGCATTTGTCAGGGGGCTAGGTTTGCTGACCCATGTAGCTAGAGCTAAGCATCTTCAGGACGAAGGTTTATTGGTGGAGTGAACATTTATTGGCAGAGCTAAAACAATTTTATAATACTTCCCTGAGAAGGGGGAGGCCAAGGGACTATGGGGCCAAGGCTCCACTGGGAAGAGGCTGTCTGGTTGAAGGACTGTATCTTGAGTCATTTCTGCTCTTAAGTTGTAACCTGTCATTTCCCCCAGTAAAATCCGGAATCATGGGCATTGCATGTAAGTTCTGTGTGGGCACTGAAAGGAATGATCAAATGAAGAAGGGGAGTAGAGAGTGGTGTTGGGGGATAGTTGACATTGGAATTGGTAAGACAGTTTGGAGGGTGAAGGCATGCCTTTAGCTCCATGGGAATGAACCTTGGATGAGGGTGATTCTCCTCCTCCTCACTTCTGAAGTTAGAGGAGGTCGAATCCTGCCCTCACACCATTGTACAGTGTACTAATAAGAGAAGTTTGGAAAGCTCAGTTTATGCTTGAAGTGAGATAAGAAAGACAAGTCATACACACAAAAAGGCACTTCCATGCTAGGCACTGAAATGAAGGATGTCTTGAATACTGTTGCCTCTAAGACCTTTCAGCATTCAAGGGGCATCCACCTGCCAGGACTGGGAGGAGGTAACACCTAGAGAGAAGATCATCTGCTTTCAGACCTGCCTTGCTAGATAGGCTCTGCCTGGGTCAGCCCAGCCCTCCCCAGGGCTCTCACCATGGCCCCCTTCATCTCCTTGTTGCGGAAACTGTAGATGATGGGGTTGCACATGGGGGTGACGATGGTGTAGAGCAGGGAGAAGGGCTTGTCCTTGTCAGGTCCATGTGTGCTGCGGGGGTTCATGTAAGAGAACATGGCTGAGGTATAGAAGAAGATGACCACAGTCAGGTGAGAGGCACAGGTGGAGAAGGTCTTCCCCCTTCCCGAGGAGGAGGCTCTGCCGAGGATGGAGGACAGGATGCGGCCATAGGAGATGACAATGAGCATCATGGGGCTGAGCAGCACCACAATGGCGTCGGCAAAGATAGCCTTCATGCTGAGGAGGGGATCCCCACAAGCGAGAGCAATCACTATGGGGGCCTCACAGAAGAAATTTTCTATATGGTTCCCTTTGCAGAAGGGATTCCGGAATGATATGTATTCCAGAAAGATGCCATTGATCAGCCCAAAGAACCAAGCGGTACCCACCAGTCTTACACAGACCTGCTGGCTCATGATTAGGGCATAATTAAGTGGGTGGCAGATAGCAACATAGCGGTCATAGGCCATAAAAGCCAAGAGGATGCATTCAGCCACACCCACACAGAAGACTAGGTACATCTGGGTCATGCAGGAGGCAAAGGAGACAGTGTGGTTCTTGACCAGTAGGTGGACCAGCATCTGGGG